CCCTGGGGTGGTGGGTCCCGGGGCAAGGGCGGGCTCTTCCCTGGGGTGGTGGGTCCCGGGGCAAGGGCGGCTGTCCTGCTGCTGCCTCCTTGTGTACCAGTTCCCCGCGGATGGCTGGAACCACAAGCTTCTCCCTGGCACTGATGTCCCAGTCCAGCTCTGAGAGCAAGGCATCTTGAGGTGGAATGGCCTAGTTAGCATTGCAGGCAATGGTGATGTGTATTTCCTACATAGAAAATGATTGACAGACATTGCAAGCAATGGCGATGTGTATTTCCTGCATAGAAAAATAATTGACAGACATTGCAGGCAATGGCGATGTGTATTTCCCGCATAGAAAAATGATTGACAGACATTGCAGGCAATGGCGATGTGTATTTCCTGCATAGAAAAATAATTGACAGACATTGCAGGCAATGGCAGTGTGTATTTCCCGCATAGAAAAATGATTGACAGACATTGCAGGCAATGGCGATGTGTATTTCCTGCATAGAAAATGATTGACAGCCTTCATTTGTCTTCAATGCATTCTAATTTGCTTCCTTTTCCTTTAGACAAAAAAAAAAAAATTAAGGGTCCTGTGAAAGATCTACTTCTTTGGGAGTCTAGGCCTGAGCAGGAGCATGGGACATCAGTTACAAGACTGGCAGTTCCTATTACAGGACTTACAGTCCCCAAAGCCTATTCACTGTGATGGGGACACACTGCCAACAAAACCTCTGGCCCCAGCCTCAGTGCTTGCCTCCTACTGACCCTCTCTTCTGCCTCACGGGCTCACCGCCCACCTGGCTGCTCTACCGGACTGAGGTCCACAGCTGCTCCGCTGCCTGCCTCGGTTCTGCAGTCACCGGGGTTTCTTTTAACCATTAGTAAAGGAGGACAGGTTGATCACAAGGCAGTAGACTTAAGTGATAAGCTGGGTTGTGCTTGAATTTAGATACTAATTTGCTTAGAACTGTCAATTAAAAAGCTGTCGGGGCTGAAGAGACAGCTCAGCAGTTAAAAGCACTTGTTGCTCTTGCACAGGACCAGAGTTCAGTTCCCAGCCCCTACATGGTGTCTCGCAGCCATAACTCAGTTGCAGGGGATCCAGCGTCCTCTTCTGACTTCTGTGGGTACCAGGCACGATCATGATGCACATACATACACACAAGACACTCAATCACATTGTGTGTGTGTGTGTGTGTGTGTGTGTGAATAATGAAATAATACAAGATTATCCTATGTTCACAAGAAGGTAAAAACTGACCTCTGCTACTACCCATGCATGATATGATGGAATGGACATCTGATTTTTCCTGAAATAAGAAACAATTATTGCAGCCAGGCATGGTTGTGCACATCCCTAATCCCAGTACCCAGGAGACAAAGGCAAATGGATCTCTGTGAGTTCAAGACTGGACAGAGCTACATAGTAAGACCCCGTCTCAGCTGCAGGAGAGAATCGTTATTGTGTAGTGTCGCTGCATGAACAACCAGAGATTCTGCAAGGCTGTGAATGTTTTAAAGAATGCCCCGCTCTTGCAAGAATCTCCTCCTGCTTTCAAGAGTTCAAGTTCTAAGCCTGGCTCCCTGTGTCACAAGATGCATGAGCAGCAGCCTGCAGCGGACCCTTGCCGTTCAGCAGTGCAGGGAAAACGGCTGCTGGACAAAGGAACGAGAGGGAAGGAAGCTGGTGGCGTACAAAAAGCATGCCGCTGCCCACGTGACTCTCTTCAGGAGGAATGCACCAGAGCCAAGTCCACCGCATATTCCGTGACCCTCAGGCCTTCCAGAAAACGTTCCCAAGGGGGACACTTTGAAGCACTGAATGTTTTCCTTGTCTTTGGCCTCAGCTCTCCCAATGCTAGGATGACAGACATGGGCCACCACACCACACACTGAATTTCCTGACATGTTATTCTTTAGGCAACATGGCATCCCTCAGCCCCTGGGGAGCCGGGTCCTTGCATCAGAGCTCTCGGCAGAGCTAAGTGGCCACGTGCCGTGTTCAGGCCACCGGGTACACCGGGGTCCTGACCAGTGGGTCTCTTGGCATTTCCAGACACCACCTGCGGCCTCAGTGCTTGCCACTTGATAGCTCTGCGTTATTGTTGTGATTCTGCCTCTAAAGTCAAGGCCACTGCCGTGGCTTCAGCACCCTCAGAGGTCCAGGGTGTCACAAACAGTGAAGACTGACATTTGCCATCAGCATGAAACACTGAGGGCCAAGCAGTGCCCATGCCAGGCAAACTGGTTTTTCTTTCTTTCTTTCTTTCTTTCTTTTCTTTTCTTTTCTTTTTTTTTTTTTTTTTTTTTTTTTTTTGGTTTCTCAAGACAGGGTTTCTTTGATGCCTGTCCTCACTCTGCAGACCAGGCTGGCCTCGAACTCATAGAGATCCTCCTGGCTCTGCCTCCTGAGTGCTGGGATTAAAGGTGTGCCCCACCACTGCCCAGCAGGTTTTTCTTTCTTTAAATATAGTTTTGGGCCGGGCGGTGGTGGCGCACGCCTTTAATCCCAGCACTCGCGAGGCAGAGCCAGGCGAATCTCTGTGAGTTCGAGGCCAGCCTGGGCTACCAAGTGAGTCCCAGGAAAGGCGCAAAGCTACACAGAGAAACCCTGTCTCG